TAATTTTTCCTTTTTTTTTTTTTTTTCGTTAAAATTATTTATTATTTTTAGACAATTTGATATAGTGCAAATTAAATTTTAAATATATAAATGAATTATTCAGATTAAATAATATAATAAAATTAATTAATATTAGATTAATATTAGTATTAGAAGTAATAGTAATAGTAATTAATAAGTAATGATAACAGTAATTTGTGATTAATAATTTAAATTATTACAAATTTAATAATTATAGCTTAATTGTATTGTGTATTGATAATGAAGATTGTAATATTCTGTGATCATTAATTAATTCATGTAATTAATTCAATGAGTAATTAATTCATTATTGAATACTTCTAATTAAAATTTGATAATTTCTAATCTTTTTTTTTAAATCATATTCATACTAACTTTCATAAATTATAAATTCAATTATTTTTTACTTTAAATTTTTCGAAAAAAATAAAACTTTTGCAGTTCTAAGTAATTATGCATAATTAAGTAATTTAAGTTTTTAATTTAATAATTCTTATATTATTTTTAATGCATTTTTTTCTTGTAAGTAAAAATTTTTAAATTTTTTGTTTTGAAATATAATAAATTAATTGCAAGTGAATTTAGCAATATTTTTAGGTATCATTTAATTTACTTTGTTCTTCAATAATTTAAATTTTCTTTTTTTTGTTACATAGAATAAAATGAATTGAAATAAGAAAAAAAAAATTGGAGCAAATTTGAATTAGTCAAAAAGATGTTTTTTTTTTTTTTTTTTATTTTGCGATATTTGAAAATGCATCGAAATACTGTGATATCAGCAGGTGGCCGATTTCTTTTTTTTTTTTTTTAGAAGAAAAATGAAAGAAAGCAAAATAGCAACAAATTAATTTTCCATCTTTTTTCCATACTAATATTTATTTCTTATTTCTTTCTAACCTAATTATTTTTTTTTTTAAATGAGAAAACGAAAAAAAAAAAAAAAAGGAAAAATTTAGATTTAAATTTTTTAAAATTTACAATTAATTTATTAAAATTGCTATAAAATGCAATTTTTTCTATTTTATAGTAAAATTATGGTACTAATACATTTAGAGTTGAAATAATTGAATTGACAAATTAATTAAAAGGTAAATTTTGTAATTTAATCAAGCAATATTTAAATGAAAATTTGAAATCGTTCATCACTTTTCCTTCCATCTCCCTCCCTCTCTCCCTCTCTATCTCTCTCTCTCTCTCCCTTCTTTCGTTTCTTTTCTATTACTTTTAAATGATTTTTAAAGCATTTTTCAAGGTAGCTATTTTAAGTCACTAAAATGTGACAAAAAAAAAATAAAAAAAGAAAGCGAAAAAATTTTCCTAAATATATTTGCATGGATTTTTGTTTACAATTGCCTGTAATTTGTTTACTTAATTATTATTTTTTATACATATTTTTATGTGACACTTTTCAAATGATTTCAAAATTCTAATTTTTTAAATTATTAAATAAGCTAAAGTAATAATTAGCAAAATTATTTCGATATAAATGTATAATTGTTCTAAACAAATATTTATTAATTAACGGAAGCTTTTTATGATCAAACAAAGAATTAATTTTTTTTTTTCTTTTTTTTTTTTGAGTTTTATTTGTTTATCAATCAATTTTCAGTATTATATTTTTGGTAATCATTTTAATAGTTAAATAATTATCGAGAAATTTACAACTTATTAATTAATTTTAATAACTTTAATTATGAACTAATAAATTTTCCAAAAAAAAAAGAAATGAATTTTAATTTTTAATGAAATCTCAAAAAGAATTAGCTTGCATTTAGCATTTTGATTTTTGTTAATTTTCAAATTTACTCGCAATTTTTTTTGATATGTTTTTGAAATTGTTGCAAATTTGTTAGCCGCAAATGTTTGCTTATATTTATTCATTGTAAAAGAAATATCAGTTAATTAAATGGCTATACAAATTGCAAAAATCTGAATTAATAACCTGAAATTTAATCGAATTTAATTTGCAGAGTTAAAATTTATGTTAATTAATTTACATGTAAGTTTAATTATAAATCTGAATATCTATTCGTATATATTTAATTATTAAGTAATTATTCAGTTGTTGAGTAAAACTATTAAGTGATTATTCAGTTATTGAGTAAAATATTTAAAATTTTAGAAATAATCCCGCTTGTTTTTTTATACTATCTTTAAATTTGTTCACAGTTAATTAATTATCTGAAGTACAAGCAATTATTTTTTTAATAGCTTTTTTTTTTCTCTCTCTTTTAAAATTGATGTCTAATGGTTTAATTTCTAATGACCATCATTTTTTATCAAAATGTCTATTTGTGTATAAATTTTTTGTTATAAAATTATTTTAAAAATTAAGCAAATATTTTCAACAATAACTCAAAATATCCTTTCAATATTTTATTACTAATATTTAACAATTTAAAATGTATAATTATGCAAATCAAACTGTTCAAATTTTATATCAATCATTTGATATTATCAAATCAAATAATACTAAAATGTACTTAAATATATTTATAAAAAACTAAAAAACTAAATGTGCTAAGAAAAAAAAAAGTTTAATTTAAAACTTATAGAATTGTCAAAGAAGTAAAATGCAAAATGCAAATTATTCTTTCATTATTAATGCATTTTGAGTATTTGATTATTTAATTGTTCCATTTTGAGTATTTTGTGACATTTTGTTTTGATAATTTTCATTGAATTAGTACAAAGAATTCTCATAAACGAATGTAACATTAATGTTGACAACAAGAAATCATTGAAGAGAGACCTAAATGATTGCATTTGTCAAGAACGGAAAAATAGGATAATACCGCCCGGGGTTCAAATGGCTTCATGAAAGATGATGTCGTGAAGTGAATTTCGATTGCTATTAATTTTATCAAATTAAATAATATAAAATTGATGCATCTATTCATTCACATTTCTGTTATATATCAGTGAAAATTAATTTGAATTAATCAAAACTTTCTTCATTTAATTTTTATATTTAATAATTTTAAAAAAAAAAAAAAAATTTTTTTCTTTTTTTGAAAAAAATCAATTGCAATTTAATTAGTTTTTTCAGAAATAAAAACACTTGAAAGTGTAAAATTTTTTGAAGTTTATTTTATTTTTTCCATCCATTTCAGAAGGAAAATTTATTCAATTTTATAAAGTAAAAACAAAAGGAAAAAAATTAAAAAAAAATGAAATTTTTTAGGTCATAAAAAAAAAAAACGAAAATTACTTGGTACTTGTTTTCAATTAATTTACTTCATTTAATTTCATTTCATTAATTTTTTATAATTCTTTTTATTGCCCGTAAAATTCCTATGGGTAATATTTAAGAAGCACTAATTTGAGTTAATTCATAGTGAAATTTCTTGACACACAAAAATCTATGAATTGCAAATAATGTGAGCCACTGAAATGATATCAATTCTGTAAATGATACTAAATTCCATCCGGAAACAGGTTTACCGGATTATTTCCCATACTAATAATACTTTGTAATTTTGTCTAAGATATATTTTAAATAATTCAGTAATGCTTAAATTAATTAATTTAAACATTTTTTTTTTTTCATACTGTAAGCTATGCTATGATTCGAAATAATCAAAATAGAAAAATTCTTTGCAGTAAATAAAAATAAAAATAAATTCTATGTTTTTGAATTCTAAATATGTACAAATATTTTTGAAAAAAAAAGAAAAAAATTTCGAAGTTTTTTCAAAATTTACAATTAATTAATCAATCAGTGCTATCTTCAGACATTATCTATCGTCAAATGCAATTTTTTAGTATCAATAAAGTGATAATAATCAATTAAATCATTAAATTATAAATTAGTACTTAAATTACTTGAAAAAAAAGTAATTACTTTAAATTACTTTGAAAAAAAAAAAAAAAAAGATGTAATTTTTCTTTTGTAGAAATCTATAAATTAAATTCAGAAGCAAAAAAAAATGGTGGTCAAATTGTCTTTTGGTTAGTATAAATTCGTGCTTTAGTGTCATATGTATTTGTGTACATTATAAGATAAAACTAAAAGTTTACTTTATATCTATTATAAAAAGAGAGAGAGAGAGAGAGAGGGAAAAAGAAGAGAAAGAAAGAGAGGGAGAGAGAGAGAAAGTTAATTTTGTATTATTTACAGAGTGTAAGCTAAAAAGACCTTTCTTGGTTAGCAGCAATATTTGCTACATTGTTTGTATATCGTATTGATTTCGTTCCGTTTTAATTAGAAATACGGTACATCTTATCTGTTAAGATAGATGAACAAACAGAACATGAAAATATTGAGTGAAATGAATAGAGAACAGAGACATACCGATTATCTGTTACCGGTTAATCCTGTTTGACAGTCACCAAAAATGGATGGATGGGTGGAGTAGGTGGTTGGGATGAGTTAGTGATGATTGAATGTTGGTGACAAAAGGTTCATTCATCTTAACCTCATCTATAGATTATCATTTTCTTTAATAGTAGTATTCAAAAAAAAAAGAAGAAAAATGACCATTTCAAATTATTCACTGTCACTTTTCAAATTTCTCCTAAAAATTTTATCACTTTAAAATGATTTATTGACCTATTAACTCAAGTAGTACTGATCAAACAACAGTAATAACAATGATCTTTCATTTTTGATTGATAAGAAAATACAACTAAACAAATCATTTAGCATCCGTCTTTTTTTTTTATAAATTTGTAATTGCTTATTATTCAATTTAAATTCAATTGTTTCAGGAAGATTACTTTGGCATATTTGAATTCACTTTTGTTAATGAAATTTTCTGAAATTTAACAAATTCTATTAATTCTTATAACCAAATAATTTGTTAATTAATAGAATTAATTAAAAGAAGGATAATTTAACTGAAAATACTCCAAACTAATTCTGCTATTATTTATTTGTTTATTTTAATTTTTGGTTATTTATTACGATTATGATATTATCAACGAGGAGAAGCAATATTTTCTTGCAATACTTTTACTTATTACTGCTAAGCTTACTTATGTGTTTACGATTTTCTTGTGGAAGCGATGTTTTTTGCGGTAATTTGACAGTTTATCGGCGGAAATGGTCACTTGAGAATGCTGTGGTACTTGTCAGTAGGACAACAGAAGATTTAAAACAATGTCTTCATATTTGTTGCAGTTTAGCAGGTAAATTTGTTATGCAACTTAAATTAATTTCAGGTTAATAGCAATTTTCTTTTTTTCACAAATTATTTATAATAAGAAATCTAATTTGTATTATATCATCATTCACATTCAAACTTTCAGTATTGAAAAAATTATTTTTAAAAAGAAAAAACTTCATAAATACTAAACTTATTTGTGTGAACAGTATTCACTTCAGAAGAATACTTCATTCAGAAATTTTAAATTTCAAAAAAGAAAAAAATCAAAATGAACATTTGTAAGAGAGGTGATGCTAATTTCAATTTCTTCATTTCAGTCCTCCGTCGCTTTTTTAATTTTGTTTTTTTTTATTTTTCATAAAAAATATTGTTGATTGATTAAGTTTTTCCATTAAAGTATTATCTTTTTAAATCATTTTTATATTAAATTTTTGAAAGTATTTGAAAAAGCATTCAAATATTTATGAGCTATTTATGAGGTAAATGAGAAAAACTTTTAAATTTGTTGTTTTCTTTTTTATTTTTCTCATATTTCAATTTAACGAAAGAATATGCTTGAATGAAAGATTAATTTCATTTAATTAAAATACTTTAAATATAAATATTATGCAAATTATTTTTTAGCTTTATATTTCAATTAATCAGAAATTCACAAATTTAAAACATATTTACGCAGTTAAGAGAAAAATTTAATTTACTTCTTTACGTACAAATATCAAAAATACAATTAAAATAAAAAGGTAAATTAGCTATTTTAACATTTTTAATTAATATTTTGCTCACTATAATATTCATTATCTAATCTTATACTTCTGAATATGAAAACATTTATAAGTTATTGAGTTTTTTTTTTCGATTACTAAGTATTTTAGTTCAAATTTGTTAGTCTATAAGATAAAAACACTATGATTTACTATGATAACAAATTTGATATTATTATTATTATTTTCAGAGAATTTTAGAGAATAGAATTATTTCATTTGGTGAAAAAAATCTTATCATATTTCTTTTCCATTTAATTTTATTTTTCATAAAATTTAATTATTTGTCACATTTAACTTTTATTTGTGAGCACAAAAAAAAAAAAAAAAAATTTGATATATTAACTTTATTACTTCTCATCAAAATCAATAATATATCAATAAAATGATTTCCACTTCATTTATAAATTATTTCAAGCAAAAAATTTATTACACTGAAAATTTTTTAAACGATAAAAACATTCATTGATTTTAAATAAAATAAACAAAAATGAAGAAACGATTAAAAATGAATGAAATTAATGAAATGTACGACGATGAAATCTTCTCGTTTTCTCGAGATTTAAAGAAAATTTTATAAATAAATTATAAATGAAAGAAAAAGAATAATAAAAGATTTTTTTTTTTTTTTTTTCTTAAATTATCGAACATTCTGAATTACTTTTAGGTTAATAGTTCTTTTATAAAATTCAACAATACAAAAAAGAAAAAAAGTAGAAATGTTAGTTTTAAAAGTAATTTGACAAACGAAAAAGAAATAATTGAAAAGTTATATATAACAGTATAATTTCGCATATTTTTTGATTAAAATGTTTTATTACCATAATAAAAATTGTAACATTTTAAATTTAATTTAATTTAATTTAATTTGATTCAATTTAATTTAACTTAATTCAGTTTTTAATTTAATATAATTTCTAGGAATAAGCAATTGTTAATAATATTTTAGCTTCTTCACAACAATTCAATTCGTTCTCATATTGAATGTTTAAACTTGTTTGAAAAAATTAAGTAAAATAAATTGTAAAAAAGTTTTTTTTTTTCCCACCTAACAATTATCCTTGAAACTTCTTTAAATTAATTAATTGCTTATTTATTTGAATTAATTAATTGCTTATTTATTCAATGAAGCTTTTTGAATTAATTATTTGAAAGTTGCAATAAGCATTCTCGAGAAATCAGTTCATCATTATTCAAGCTCGAAATCATCGAAATATTGAAGCGATAATATGCATTGATATTAAATTATTTTTAATCAACAACTGAAAATGAAAAATGTATATTTGATCATATCTTATCTCATTATCAAACACTTCCAATCTTTATCACCATCTTATCATCCTTAACTCATCTGACCTTGACTTACTCATACAAAAGATTAATGATTAAACGATAAAAGTGTGATAAGTGTTGTGAAAATATTATAGTACAAGATAAAGGTAATCAATTAATTTTGTTTTAGGAAAAATCGAACGAATTAATTTATTGAAATATTTGAATAAGTAAACAAATAAAAAAATTTAAATAATTCCAACTATTACTTTTGCTTCAAATAATTCTTTACTTAACAAATGTGATAATTTCATTTCTATTTTTTAATTTGCTTTTGTTTTTTGAAAAAAGTTGAAATAAATAGTTATATCATATCCTTTATTCATTTACGGAATTTCACAAAAGTATTAAAACTTAAAATATTTCATTTGCATAATCGTTGATTGTTGTAATTTAGATTTAACTTATTTATAAAGTATTTTACCTACAGTTAAACTCTAATCATACTTTTGTCAAAGTTATAAGAAAGTGTTTTTTGTTTTTCAAATGAAATGGATTAATTTTTGAAACAAAAAGCTGAAAAAATCTTAATTCTAATTTTTAATTTATTTAACTAATTGTTCATTAATTCCATTTTCTATTTAACTCAATTCCAATTGTTTTTTTTTTTTAAATCTTATGTACTCATTCATTTCTTTTTTGTATACAAATACATTTTCTTGAATATTTGATGAAAATTTATAAATCAGATTTGCAATATAAATTTCGATTTAAGAATTATTCATTAAGTGTCTGTGATGTTGTTCACTTCCTGTCCACTCCCTGTCCACTTCTTCTTTTAATCAATTTTCTCGTAATGTTTAATTTTCAAATTGAAGCTTTTTTTTTTTCTTCTTCTTTGTTTTTTGCTTTTATCATAGTAAACAAATAAATAAAGAATTCAAAAATAGAGAAAAGAATGGTAATTTTAATTTTATAAAATTTTATTATTCTTTTCTTTGCTTTTTTCTTTCATTCTTTTTCGCTTTTTTTTTTAATTTTTTAAATTTTATTTCATCTTCTTCCAGTTTCAACCTGTTTCGAATGAATCCTAATTACGTTTATATGTAAAATAAGATGAGCAAAAATGAAGAAGCAACTTTGCGGAGCGGAAAAAATTCATTTGTTCACATGCGCATATTTTCCTTTGTCTAATCAAAAGAAGCAAACGTTTTAACAAATAAGTTGAAAAATTCGCATTTTTTGAGATGAAAAATATAAATAAACAAAATTCTGGTAAAAACAAATAATTACTATTAATCAGTTATGTATAGGAGGGACGAAACAGTAGCATGATATTAATTAACAATAATTAATAATATTAATGATGATAATAACAATAGTGATAATGATAATGATCATAATAATAATAATAATAATGTTAACAATAATAATAATGTTATTATCAATAATAATAATAACGTTAACAATAATAATTATGTCAACAATAATAATAATAATGCTGACAATAACAATAATAATAACGATTATAATAATAGTATTACCAGAAGCAAAAATCTCGTCTAATAATTAAAAACACGTTTATTTTTAATTATTTATTATAAATAGAATTGAAAAATTCCAATGGATGATATCCGTTCACAATGATTATTAATGCATGAATTAATTTAAAAAAAAAATTGTATTTTTTTTCTGATACAACTAATTTAGATAAAATAAAAAAGAGTTGTAAACATGCATTAGAATAAAATATCTAATAAAGCAGTTCGAATTTATTTCAATAATAGTTAGTGAAACTGATATAGGTTAAAGTTCAGTGTATACCAGATCATCGTTAAAAAATATAAATTCTAATTTAATTTTTGATTTTTGAGAAAATCATCTGATGGATGCGATAATAATAATTGTTTAGTATTAGTTTAGTAAGTATTATTTTAAGAATAATTTCATTATTTGTTTCATAATTTCCATTTCATTTGTTTTTTTTTTTTTTTTTTGACCCATTTAACACAAATTGAACCACAATTGAAAATATTTCTAGCTACTGTTAATGTATACTATCACTGAAATAAAAATGATTAAGCAGTTGACTGATTGATAACAAAATTATCATATTTGATAACATATCACTTACACGAGAGGGTATATCACATTCTATATAACAAAAATCTTGAAATAATCTTTACCATTGTAAAAAAAAAAAAAAAAAACGAAATGAATTAACTAAATTTCATTTATTGTTTTATTCAAAAATATAAAAACTTAATTAATTTCAAAAATAATTAATAAGAATTTAATTATTTTCATTTATTATTGAGTTGAAAACAAAAACATTTTAATTATTTCAGACTGTCAAGGAGTAACATTTATTGGAGTTGTTGAGAAGAAAATGGCGCAAGAAAATTGTTTATTAATTAAATGTTATAGCGAATGTCAATTTGACATCGCTAGTGCTGAGCTATCCGAAGGTGTTTCAGTTAAGATTACCCGTGCTATACAGGTAAGTTAATAATTCATAATTTGAAAAAAGTTTAATTTATTATTTGTGCAATTTCTTTGCTTATTCATTTGTAGCACTTTTTATTAATAGTTTGCTAATTTTAATTGCATATGTATAAAAGCAAAATAATTTACATTAAACTTTTTGTTAGTTTTAAAAATTACGAACGAATGCAAATTCTGAATATTATTATTATATCTTTGTCACTATCATCATCATTATTATTATTACTATTATCGTAATCGTGGTCTATATCACTATAATGATTATTGTAATTATGCATATATCATCGAACATCTTAAATGGTTAGATAAAAAAAGGAAAAGCAGAAGATCATTTGCTTGACGTGAAAGTATTAATATATTATTTATATTGAGTGGCATAAATTTGCATAAAATTACACCTGTAATTATCCCCTAATAAAAGGCGGTAGAATTAACCTGAAGTAGTGGTAGTAGTAGTAGTAGTAGTAGTAATTATTGTTGCAATAGTCTAAGAGATAGATAGATGCAATTAAATTTAGTTGATTTTAAGAGGTGATTGACTGGAAAGAACCTTTGATATTTACGGAAAGATGAAGCAAAGAATAATAAGAGGAGATGTCATGCATCCATCCTTAATGGATCTTTATAAAGTTTTCATCAATTAACGAAATACTCCATTATTTGCAGAAATACTATGAAATTTTACTAAAATGAATTGAGCTTCTTTTAACTTCGTTTCTTGTTTACCTTTTATGCTTACCTTGCTAAGGTAAACTAAAATATTCATGATTAATTTGAAAGATAAATTGTAATAGTTTGCAATATTATGGCAAATTATAAATTAATGGAAGACAAAAATATTTATCTTTCATTAATTTAAAAAAAAAAAAGATAAATTAAGAAATCATTGAAAGATTTCAAGATATCTATCAAATATTTTAAATTATATCAATTAATTGATAAAAAAAGAAATACAACAAATAGTATTAAAAAAATTTTTTTTCTGATACATCTGATTTTGATGTGTTAGTACAGTTTGATAAAGTTTCTATGTTCATTGATTTTTTAAATTTAAAATTGGAAAATTTTCAAATCATCAAAATAGTTGTTACCATTTTATGCAAATTTTTTTTTTTTATTAGATTTATTTCTTCCTAATTATCTATGTAATTTAAAATGCTTTACATTAGAAATCATTGATGAAAAAGAAAATTCAATTTCTATCATATAATATAGCATTTATCGTAAAATTTCATCAATTCAAATGCAAACAATAAAGCAATAAGTTGTTGTGCAAATAAGCATTCAAATGAACAAATAAATTTAGCTGAAACGAATTAACTTTAGTATAATTTATCAGTATGCTAATTTAAATGGAAGCATTTTGAATGAGTATTTCAGGAAGTAAACAATATAAATAAACAACGAAATAAATTTTATTTTCAGAATTTCACTGCTGATAATATCGAAGCAACAGATATACCATTATTGAAAGCTAACATATTCACGGGTAAGTTAACTCCAATCTGGGCAATTGGTCTTATCATTGTTGCTTCAGTGTTTTGCATTGGTTTTAATATAATCTTAATTACTGCTTATATTTGTTGGCAACGAAAGAAAAATTACAAACGTAAAGCGCACATTTCAACAATTACAACATTACATGCATTTAATCCAACTTAATATTAAAATTTTTATTTATAATATAATAAATATTAAAATTTAATCAATAATATAAAATTGACTTTAAAATTTATTAAAATATTTTATTTAATAAAAAATTAACAACTTAAATTTTTTTTGTATTATTACAGATATTTTTTAATGAATAATGCAAAAATGTTTAAAAGATTTAAGAATGTTTATTTTTTTTTTTTTTTTTTTGAATTTTAAATAATTTTTGTACATTTTGTATAAAAATTGGTTTTTACTTCATTCGTACATTTAATTGATTATGTAAAAATAATTCTCAAAATTGTTGTTTATTATAAAAATTAATGAATGATTTTTAAATTGTATTAATATCTTTCTAAAAATTTGTCAATTTTCTTTTTTTTTTTTTTTTTTTTTTTTGAAAGTATGATAAATTAAAGAAAATAGAGGTTCAGAAATTTAAAGATGAATTTTAAAATTTGAAACTTTGTTAGCCATTTAATAGCTTTAATTTGTATAAATATACATATACAAAAAATATTTGCAGTGCCATTTATTCGGGTAGTTTACAAATTGATATATTCATATGTGTATGAGATTGTCATCTATCAAAAATAGAGAGTAAACAACAAAAGTAAACAAAAGGTTCAGCAATTAAAACTTTTAAAAAAAGATATTTTATTGATTCATAAAAATATATCAATTTCTAAACTAATTAATTTCCCATTGTATTATGAAACTATCTGCAGAACTATATTTGAATTTAGTTTTTTCAATCATTCACATTTTGCAAATTATTTAAATTCAAATTTACTCTCAGCTAAAATTTTCCACATATCAAATTAATGTTTTTTAACTTCTTTTTTCTTATTATTTTGTCATTAATTGTAAATGAATGAAATAAAATATTGCAATAATATCAACAAAATTTGTTTACATAAGAAAATTTAGCTAAAATTATTTTTAATATTTATTTCAATTTCAGCTACTGCAGGAAAAGTAACAATGATAAGGCATTATATCATTTCAAAATTATATCATCGAATATTTTTTATCAGAAATTAAGGAATGGAAAAATTTTGGATTCTATAAACTCAAATTTTTGAACATTTTCATTGTTTATGATTTAAATGATATAAATTCAATTGTTACTGAGAGATTATTGAATGACAGAGAGAGAAAGGGAGACAGGGAGGGAGAGAGAGAGATGGATGATATGCAACAAAAGAAGGTAAATTAGTTCTTTCAATGATTTTTGTCTTTGCTTTTTTTCCAGCATAATTTAAAACTCTAAAAGATGCGGAATTTTCGATTTCAACTCGATTTCAATTCAGTATCTTTCCTGATAGAAATTTTATTAACCTTTAAAGCTAATGTTGAAAGCTATCAAACTCGTAATATTATCGCTGGAAAACGAGAAACAGAATGATTAAATCAATCAAATAATAATGACTCATTCATGATCAGTCACTAAATCATTCTCGAATTAGTTTTCCTCGTCTTCACTTCACTCAAAGGAGAAATCTCGAGAATTATTAGTTTTATCCATTTATTTAAATTTTGAAAGCTAAGATTTTTTTAAAGTTTAAAAGAGGATTTAAAATAGCAAATTTTGAAAAGTAGTAATATCTCTGAACCAAAACAAATATGTGAATTTAGTAGACATTTTACACCTTTCAGTTCTTCATTTACCAAAACTTCTAGCAATTACGCAACGTACAAAATAATCCGGTTCGATCATTCCGCAAACGTTGAAATATTTCAATGTCTTTGCATGTTTTATTATAGTAAGAAATAAAATTAGACTTCTTCTTTTATTGCAATTTCAAAAATTTTCAACTTTCTTTAACAGACAGAATGAGAACAATCAATATGGTATATAATAATCGAAATGATCAAACATATCATTGCCTAAAGGTGTATTTTAACAGTATTTTATAAGAAATATTTGATGTCAGTACTTCTGCATTATTAGGAATACTTCTTGGTTATTTGGCAATTTGGAAAAAATTCAGAATTAGGGTGCACGTAAAGTTATTTAAATTCTATTAAAAAAGGAATCGCAGTATCATATGACAAATATAAGCAATATTTAATTTCAAAAATTTATTAGAAAAGATTTTTGTACAAAACAAATAATTTTAAAAAGAATCGTCGACATTGTATAATTTAATCTGAAACTAAACTTGCGTAGTCATTACACTAATATTTACTGATATTTCTTATTTCTAAAAAAGTAATGTAACATTCAACGATTTCTTTTCAAGGTGCGTTGTTTTTCGGCGTTAATTACAATTAGTTCATCAGTTAATAAACCCTTTCGCTTCCTTACTGCATCCATGTAAACACGAGCTCGGTTTATAGCATCACCTTTGACACCATACAATTCAACCTAAAAGTAAATTAATCAGATATTTGATTTGAAATTTAAACATTTAACTCGATCATCAAAATTTTAAGTTCTTTATTTTATTAAAGAATTTAATTTAACCTCAAAATGGACTTTTGCTATATTTTGTCAAGTAATATATTGAAATTCAAAGATTTATTAAATCTCAAAAAGTTTTTAACCTCATCCTCGGTAGTAGGTTCCCAAAACGGATCTTCATCGATTATTTCCCAGTGTGAAAATTCCAACTGACCCGAAGAAAGACCACTTGTTTTCTTCCTTAGTTGTTCACAAAACGAAAAACTTTCAATAACTGGTAAATGTGCCTCAACAACAAATAACCCATTCGATTGGTTCATATCCTCATTTAATATCTTAAAGACGAGGTAATTACTCAGAATTGTAAAATTCAATTTCGATAAGATTTCAAAAAATTACTTCACGAAAAGTTAACATTATTATCCTTCAAAACAAACCTTTGCTCGCCTTTGTGAAAGAACTGTATGCACTTTGCCTAACGCTTGAGCATTTGTTTGTACTACACATTTGTACATCGCAGCCATAAGTCGAAGTGGATGCTTTTTTTGTGCTTCTCTGAAATGCTAAACTATTAAATGGAAATGAAAGAGATCATATAAATTAGAAAATACAATTTTGGAAAAAGAAATGACCTAGAAAAATTACTATCAAATTAGTAAGAAAACACATAATGGTTAGAAGTAGTTCTATCGATCGTTATTTAGTTTTTTGTATCATATAAGTCTTTGAAAGTTAGGTGTTTTTTTCTTTAAACAATCTAAATTCACTTCTACCAACTTCTTTAGTTAAAATGTTCCAAGTTTATACTCACACAAAAAAAGAAACTGACCTGCATGCCTGCTTCATCCCGGATATCAAGGCTCCAGCCATTGTTGGATCATCAACTTCATTTACAGTCCATTCATCAACAACAATAGCAGTACCCCACATTGGTTCTTCACATAAGGGACCAGCTCCTACCGCTAAATCAAAACCCGCTATTATCGATTGATCAAAACATCGTAACTTGGAAGTACCTTCTGGAAAAGAAATATGGCATTAAAAAAAAAGAAAATTATTTATCCAATTAGCTCTACTTAGAATTACACGCAAAGGAGAACAAACCAAGAGAAAGGAGAGAGAGAGAGAGAAAAAAAAAGAACTTCCCTAATCAATTCAACAACCTTGCAACCCCTTTGCAAATAAGCTGCAATGAAAATAGGAGTGGAATGATTTAAAAAAATTAGAATAGTCGAGAAAAATTTGTGAAGTTGAGAAAAACATACTTTCCCATATTGATGGCCTATTATAATCTTCCGTTGCATTGAACAATATGTTAAATCTAGCTCTGGGTGGTCCAAATGCCCATATCCTATCGATGAAATGTCTAGAAAAAATTAAAAAATGAAAAATGAAATTTTAATTGAATCTTTAAAAAAAAGTAGAACTAACTGGAGTTTTGTGCACGAGACTCTTAAATCAATCATAAATAAACGTGCGATCTTAACTGACAAAAGCGCAGCTGTCAAGTCAAATAAACAATTTGACAGATAAAGATATTCTTGTTTTAGTGAACGAAGAACAGCTAACTTAGTTTTAAAGAGATACTCCATTAACCTTGCAAAGAAATTCTCTCCTGTTTATCTAATCTATTTATCCACCTATCTCTACATATATGAAAATAAATTAATAATTCGTATATTTCGTATAATTCGTATATTTTACCTAAGTTGCTCGGTTCGCTGTTTTGACCAAAAACTTCCTTTTAAATCCTTCAGCCAATTCACACAATCATTCAGCAAAATTTTATGTAAATCCTCTATCGCTGAGGTAAATTTTCCTTCTCGTAAATCACGTAAGATATCCTCATTTTTCTCCAAAACTTCAAGAAGTTCTCGCGGCAATGCTGCTGCACGCAATTTTATTTTGGCTGCACCGCTGCGAACATTGCAATCCTAAAAATAAACCTAAAAGAATAGAACATTTAATATCAATTGAACAAATCAACCCGTCTCTATTCCACATATCACTACTCATATGTAAAGTTAATGATAGGAAATAGAAAATTAGAAGGTGCGTTCAAAATACGAAGAAATAAATTAAAACAATTATGAATACATTACAGATGAAAATTAGAGATTAGATACTAAAAACTGAAGTTCGAATATTTTACAGAATTTCCATCATTTCGTAATAAAGACAAGAGCATATGCTTACAACAGGTTGCATTGAATTGTTAGGTAATCCAGGTATAGAAATTATAGTTTCGAAGAAAGGTACTGAGGGTTCCGACACTTTTATATTGCTCTGCCCCATATTATACAAATCAGTAAGGCATTTCTGAAGATGAACTTCGCCTAAAAATGTGTGGAAGAGATAGAATAATAGCAATAAAGGACCTACGAATAAAGTAACTACTAACAAAAAAAGTTTCAAGTGTAAAAATTTTCGCATAAAAATGATTAAAATAGCAAATAGATAACGTTAATTACCAGTAATCAGAAAATTAATCAGGAAATATATTGAAAAAATGAAGAAAAAGAATGAATTCAGGACAAATAATACCTGCAGCAAACATGGCTAATTCACCATTTTCTTGCTCGACAACTCGAATATTTGAATCTAAAACGCTAAGTTGCTTTAGAGCAGTTCGTAAACTTTTAAGTTCATCTAGACCACCTTCCGGTTGAACCGACACACGGACCAACGGTTTTGCACCATGAGTAACACGAATCAGTCCCTCCGAAACTGCTTCGCTACAAAGAGTTGTTGCTAACATTTCACTCGAAAATTCGATTGCACATACTGCACCTGCGACGACACAATCCACCGCAATTTTTTCACGGCCCATAAGTAAATAAACTCCGCAAATGGTTACCAATGGCCTGAAACTTCGGAAATGAATAAATTGAGAAAAGCTGAAAACATAGAGAAATTGAAAGATACCCGAACAAACATCATTTTTTATAATTAAAAAAAAAACTACCTAAGATAAATCATTGGAGAGTAAAGAGTAAAGTCCAGAAAAACATACTTATGGTGGAATTTGTTAAAATAATGAATTCAGAATTGAAGTCAGCAAAATTACAACAATATTTCATTTCATACAAAAAACACAAAATATAAGATGAAATGAACACCTTTCGAGGACAGTTCCATTTGAATGTTTATTATTAATCAAAAATAGTTGGTCATCTTTCCGAATACTTCCAGAAAGCACACGGCACATTACTAATACAGTTTCACCATACTGCAATATTTTAGCAACAAAAACGACAGTAGTAGCTGAACTGTCACATGCTCTAACGGTTTCATAAAGAGAATGATTTTCATCCAAAGACAATGACGCTAGGCGGCGAGGATGTGTGAAGGATTGAGATGAAGGTGACGAGCCGATGGCAGCTCGGAAACAAGCTTTCGTCAGAGGAAGCCAACCGCGCATAAATTCATCGAATGCTTCCATTGTACGTCTGCTTCGAATTTTGACATTCATTTTATCAGCAAATGCCTGAAAATCATGTGAAAAATTGCTGAATCTGACGTTCGCATTAAATGTTACTTTTGTAATATCAAATCACACAATGTTCATCAAAAGAAAACTGAATTATAAAAACCTTCAGTTTCTCCAAATCTTCATCTACAAGGCCAGATTTATGAACATCCCATAATGGTTGCAAGATGAACTGCTCAAATAAAGTTTTCTTTCCTAGACATTCTGCTCCTTCTTTGATCACGCCTTTTGAAAAATATGAATCCGTAAAGAGTTTTGATAATATATCCTTCTCTGGTATACTAATTTTCTTGGACCAAATCTGGGAGAAATCCAACAAGGAAAATCCATAACCTAGAAAAAATATCAAAAAAAAAAGTTAAAGCAACATGCAGTTCCCACGAAATTGAAATATTGGACCATTTTTTCAAACCCAGTTTGAGTGAAAAAACTGAAGTATATGACAACGCATACAACAAACCATGCAAAGCTGAAGCAAAAATAACATTTTCATTTTCTGGTGAAAAATACAAGCCCTTTTCAGCACGTTCAACACTATGCCAATCTTCCTGCTCAACTAGAACACCAGAAATAATCTGACTGATACAACTATTAACCTGAAAATGATTTATATTTGTTCTTGGTTTCTGTTCATCTTCGAAGAAATTCCAAAAGAACAGGTTCGAATGAAATTCCAAAAGAACAGGTTCGAATGAAACATAAGCGTAAATCGAAGTCATTAATTTCTGATTCAAAAATTTCTGCTATACCTAAATTTCATTATCTTGACAAAAATCAATCTCACTAAGCTTACTTGTTCCAGCAAACGCCGTATATGAGCAAATGCTTCAGCAGGAGTTTGTTTCATTTCTATAGCTAATCGATCAATTTTGTTGAAAACAAGAATTATTTCTAAATTTAGCTGAATTGCTTGCCGAAGGAGAAATTCAGTTTGTGAGCAAAGTCCTTCAACCTAAACAGAAGCGAATTACAGAACTGGAAGTATGAAAGAAAAGGTTAGTTTTTTAAAAACTGCAGCAAAAATCAAAAAATGAATGCAAATTTAGTTTTTTAATCAGTAATTTAATTATTTGAAGAAACAGCATTCGAATCAATGAGACACTCATATTAAAGGGATCACTAAACTTTAACTGATAACCGACGGAAAACAAACAACATATGCTTACTTTAGCATTATGGAAATTTTTTTGTTTTTTTATTATTTGAGTGCAAAACATTCAGTGTCATGAATCCTCACATTTTTCACTAGATGCAAATTCAAAAACAAGAAAAATTTTCATTCATAAAAAATTTTAAATTTAAGAATAAAATGTCCAACAAACCACATCGATCACCAAAAAGGCTATATCTGACAACAGCAATACTGAGGAAACTTCATCAGAAAAATCAACATGACCAGGACTGTCAATCAAATTTATGATATTGTTCTCGTATACTAGAGCAATTGCTGAAGCTTTCATCGTTATGCCACGAATTTGCTCATCCTGAATGCTTATAAATGTTAAAAAGAATCCATTCATAGGCCGCTTTATGATATTATCATATTGAATATAATTTCAAAACCTAACTCAAATTTTCATTCCAAAAATCGTATTTTACAAAATACAACTTCTATAACTCATTAACTCATTAAAAGGATAAAGACTGAATGTTATTTTATTTTTTATAAAAAAAACCTAAAAATGGTAACAAAAACTACCTCGCGACTATCCATATAACGTAATTTACCAGCCATTCTAGTCGAAATTAATCCATTCGATGAGATAAGACAATCAGCAAGACACGTTTTACCGTGATCTACGTGAGCAATTATACACACATTACGGATTTTTGATGCATCCAACTATAATTAAACAATACTTTCAATACTACATTAAACGTATCAAACAGAAATAATCGCCTTCCATCATTTTGTGCACGTGCAACTATGACAATTAATTGATATTGAAAATAATTTTTATTCTTGAAAATAAAAAAAAAAATCTATTCGATAAATTATTACTTCTTCAAGATAAATCTATTATTCTTTTAGGATAAACTATTACCTTTTGAAAAGTATCACAATCTGATTGCTTCCGTGTCATCTCTTTGTTTCTTTTTCTTTTATTTTCACCTGCAATTATATTTATTATTGTTGTTAAAAATTTTAATTTTATTTTCAACTTCTATTACACCTTGATATTTTCTAAGTTTGGTTATGCATTCATAAAAGTTTGCATGCAAATGCATTAAGTATTTATTGAGATACCGAATAAAGAATTATGAAAGAAGAAGATGAAATACTCCAATATTTATATATATTATATGCAAGTTGAAAGAAACATCGATAAACATTTGCATGAAACTCTCAAAAATGCAATCACAGAAATTTCCCATCTAATTCTAACAATAGCTATTTAACATTAACCATAAACTGTGCCATCTTGTCCTGGCGCAAGAGGTCGTGTCATCTTGCTCAGGCGGAAGAGGAATTGCTTCAAAGTGACATTGGTTCAAGTATGAGTTGCCAATGATTAAATTTATTAGTCAAAATTAGTTTGAATTCCTAATTCTTAGCTGACATTTTATGTTAAATTAAAATGTATATTTTTTGCATTGTAATTTGTCGTAGTGTTTTAGTTTCTTTTTTTTTTTTTTTTTTTTTCTTTCTTTTCTACATTTTATTCAAATAATTTCTATAAAAAGGGAACAAATTTTAGCTATGAATTACGTCGATCAACAACAGTTTATAATGCAACAAGGACAACGGATGCAAAATCCTCGAATGGTTAGCTTATTTTTTTCTTCTTTTATTTTTCAAATCTTACACGTTAATCTTGTCTTGAGCTAAATAGCAAACAGAATAAGAAAATAAGAAAGGATGAAATCCAATATTTGTTTATTGAATTTAATTAATTGATAAAGTTGTATTGCTTTTATATGTAATTATTTTAAATTAATAGTTTTACTTTTATACTTACTTATTTGTTCTTTTGTTAGTAACGGTTTGCTTCATTTTATCATTCGTCAAATTATTCATTTTGATTCAGATCATTCAATTATCAAATAAACGGTAGTGAAAGGAATAATATTAAGACAAAATTTGTATGTTTTATAGATTTCTGTACCGACAACTGTGACACCGCAACATTTGCATAGGCAACAGAGGTAAGTATTATTAATTTTTTTCACTGTTATTGTTTTCTTCTTTTTCTACAAAACTTTGCTTAAACTTGAGATTGTTTACCATCAAATTATTTGTCTTATTTTTATGGCTGTACATAATTATCAAAGATTTGGGACCATTTTATACTCACCTGGCATGTTGCATTGTTCTCTTTACACTCTTAAAATTTCCGAAATTTATTCCGATTGCCTTGTCATTTGAGGTGACATTGAGATGTATAGATTGGATCATATAGGATAGTTTCTAATTCACTGAACAAAAATCGATGAAATTTAAGCAAGTTAGTGAATGTTTTTGTAATTTGCAAAAATCTCAAGTATTCTGGGAAGTTAATTTAGTCTCACAAATGAACTCTTTAAATTTCCAGATATGGCATGGCAATGATGCAACCCGGTCAGCAACCAGTACAGATCGCATCCGGACAGTATGTACAAAATCCGCAAATGCAGCCAAGGCTTATGTATGTTACTTACTTATATTTTAAGAAATTATTCTTCTACTTGTGCAGTTTACTCATTTTAGTATTTAATTTTTTATATCAATCTTCTTGTGTCGAACTTGGAAATTTCTTCAAAATTGACAGATCTGAAGGTCACAGAATGTTCTAATCAAAAGTTACAGAATGTACTCTTTTTTAGGACAATGAGCGATGCGTTGTCGCGGCTACCACCTGAAGTACAACAGATGGCTCAACAACAAATTAATGCAGAAACAAGTGCTGAAAAAAAACGACAAGTTGCTCTAGGATTTATACAAGGACGTGTTCGAGTGAAGATTTAGCTTTATTAATTAGTCTTTGAAATCAGGTTATAAAAATTGCCTGGTGTTTGAATAAATTTAATGGATAGGTAAAAAGTTCGGTGTTGCGCCATATGTTTTAACAGAATGATGTTTCAAGAGTATAGTGGAAGTATTAATGATGTGTGTCCATCATCATTCATTTTGAACAGAGATTGTAATGTATCTTTTTGGATAAGTTTGCAAAAATTTGCAGGAAATTAATTTTGTTTTTACAGTTGTTAATTGTATTTGGAAAGTTTAAATTTAGCATTTGTAGTTAACACAACAATATCCTGGTCAAGGCACGATGAATAGTGGTGGAATGATGATTAGTGTTGGGCTGAATCAGCAAGTTGGTATGGCTCAAGGTTTGTTACGTTGACAAATTTAATTAGAAGTCTGAAGATAAGAATAGTTTCATAATGCTCGAAGAAAATTAAAAATAATCCATAGGATAATAAGCTTGAAGTTTATTTATCTAACAAATAATATTTCTTAAAGGAAATACACAAATGGTGCGTATGGGGACTGTGCAGAGTGGTCCAGTACCATATCCAGCGCAAAACGTTTCGTTGCAAACTGGTATGGGACAAATGGGACCAGCACAGGTCTCTGTGCAGTAAGTTTTAAGAAAAGTACTGGTAGGTAAAAAGATTTATTGTAAGAGCATTTATACGCATGAAATGTTAAACATTCATAACTTTATGAAGCGAAGAATGGAATTTGACCTCAAAACGTTTACTTTACCCATGTAGTTTAATTTATATTGAACTAAAGAATTTTAAAATGAAATGTGCAATTTTTGTCTCAAGTTTATGTAAACTGAAGCAATTTTAAACAAAATTTCAGACGCATGCCAGGTCATTATATGACAAGTAATATGAATGCTCCTCAAAATATACAGTATCAATCACAGGATCCCGGAAATGTCCAAAATTATAACCCACAACAACAAATTACTCTTACACAGCCATCGTCTGTAGGACCCACTCTGCAACAATCTTCTTCTTTGCATCATAAGGGCCCAAACAGTGTTCCAACTGCAATTTACACGCAGCATCATCCTGGTAATAAGCTTTTCTTATTGTAAAAAATTTTGAAAAAATAATTTAGGCATAAAAGAATTTCCTATGAAATCTAATTAATTCTCCTATTTCAGAAAATGCAACTGCGACACACAGTACAATAAGTAGTAAAGGTGATAAAAGCTCAGATGAACCACTTTATAGTCAGAAACTAGAGTTATTGAAACCTTATCATGAACATATCAAAAGACTGCTTGAAAGAAATCGGTAATTTTCACTTATTCTTGTTTTTTAATTATTTGAATTATCGCCATAAAGGAATTAATTTTAAATAAAGTTCAGTCAAATATTAATTATTGGAATAACTGTATTATTTCAATGCTCATGCTGAATTTGAAGACTTCTTTTGTTTACAGTTTGGATGGACAGGCACCGAAGTCGAAATTTGAGCGCCTTCTTGAAATAATGGAAAATCGTCGGTAAATTTTTCGATTTAATATTTTTTTTATTGCATTGATTTCATGCAGAATACCAATTATATCATATTTTCGAAAGTCCAGATTTGCATTTTGATTAAATTTTTAATGTATTTAATTAATAAATTTATAAGTCTAGTAATAAAATTCTCAAATATGCGTTATCAGTTCTGTCTCTTCTCGAACTTATTCCATTTTGTTCAAAAGTTGAGTTTTGCAGGAAAGTAGAGTTGAAACTTCTGGAAAAGCTGGTTGTTAGTGTAAGAAATTTAATCGAACGTGATTCACTTTGTTTTCCGTTAATAGATGCTTTACGTCTGGAGAGTGGTGATACTCCGAAGACACCGCTTCCAGATCCTTGGGATGACTTCCATCAATACGCAATAAAGTAAGTCTGTTGAATTTATTTCTTAGTGTAAAAATCTCGATTAATTGGATTTGAGATTTGACTTAATTTAAAATATAAGCTTTAAAAGAAATCGCTAGAATCGTTATTTTTCACACTAAGGTAACAATTGCATTAATTTCAATATTATTTACATACAAATATTGATTATTTTGTTTTGTCTTACTCGTTGTCATTCTTTTGCTAGAAATTTAAGCTTAATATGAAATTTACTGAAATATTTCTATATGTTTCGAAATTCCAGAGTTCCAGAAAAAGTGATGAATTTAGTTAAAGAAGAAAAAACGAAAAGTAAGGAAAGTAAAGGTGTAATACCAGTCAAACGAATCAAAAAAGAAGAAGATTCTGATGGTTTGTTTTCTGTAATATTATTTTTATTAATTGATAATTATAATTTGCAGTATTTATATTAATTTACTGGCATTAAACTTTGCTGGATTAAACCTACCAATTACCAATTGCTAATAATATTATTATTATTCTTGTTTTTTTTTTTTTTTTTTTTTAAGTTTATAAACTTATAGTAATTTCGTCGTATTTTAGAACGGATAGCGGTGATATGCCAAGATGGTTCACGACTAGAATTATCACAAGAAGCATCAGATCAACTTCGGCCACACAATTACAGGTCATATTTATAACTATTTAATAATACAGATGATATATGCTTTTCTTATTCCAATTCATAATTTATATTAAGGTATTCAATGTGATTATGAAACGTCGAAAACCACTTGACATCTTAATAAAAATACGGTTTTAGATTTGACCCTGAATTTATTCCAATATCAGATGACTGTACAGAAATTCAAGTGTTTATCGAAAACGATATTGTAAGCTTGTCTCTGTTAGAGGTTTCATCTCTAATCTTTGATTTCATTGATAATTTAACGTGGTATGATCTCTTTGCTTGATCTGTTGAAAAATCTTCACATTGCAATATTTTGATTTTTTCCCTTATAATTCTCTGTTTTTGATTGCAATTTCATCTCCTTATTAACTTTCAGCTCCTAGTACCTCCATTGCGATTAGTGATACCTTTGAACTATCCGGAATCTAAGGCATCCATATGGCGTGATCGGTGGTCCTACGGTGGTGTTAACTTGATCGATATCAATACACAGTTCGATAAGCGCTTAAATATGGCCGTAAATTGTCGAAGTATCACGGAAATTATCAATGCCTGGAAGCTTGCTTCTTTGCATGTTCTGAAAATTGGTAGTTCTAGTGCGAGCACATAGAGTCTTTCCTGCTCAGCATAGATTGTTTCTTTTTATAAATGTTTATAGCGATTCGTCTTTCCGATGATAAAAGCTCTCCAAGTTTCATTTGTCATTCAAGATTGGGAAACAATACAATTTTTCAAAAGCAAAAAAAAAAAAAAAAAATAGTAGATCATTTATAAATACTAACAAAGCTATAAATCCTAGAAGGAAAACCATCCACTGACATTTTCAAATAAGTAGCATAAATAGATCCCTACCCTCAAAAAAAAAAAGGAAAAAAAAAGAAAAAAAACAAAAAGTACTTTGGGTCTCGCCTTTTGCATGGATAAAAAAGAATATTAATTTCAAAGTAACTCCCGAAAGAAAAAAAACTAATTATGAAGTAGAAATCGTGAATGGCTGCTACAATTTCCCTTCCGCACTTATTCTTTCATATCTCTTGTACTTTTATTCTTTCATATTTCTTTTTCGAGGTTTATGCTTCCAAGTGGAAACGTTTTTAAAATTGCCAAGATCCCGAGAGAATAAAACAACTTGCTATTTTTTATAAAAGAATTGTTACGAAATGAAATTAATATGTACAAAGAGCGCAGAAGACTACCCACTTCTATGGACTGATATGATTACATCACCAACTGTCTTGATACTATGGCTCAATTTTTAAAATATCTAAATATCTTCACAACAGTTTATGATTAACATCTTTGAAAATGAAATGATCCACTTAAAACTCGTAATTTCCTCCTTTAGAACATTACATAATGTAACTGATACCTTAATAATTAACAATAGACGATCAGCTTTTTGATTTCTTTATTTCATAAAACAGTGAGAATTCCAGGAATCAAAGTCCGTTTTAGTGCATGATTAAGAAATACAAAAGAAAAAAAAAAAACATTTACAGCGATCATTAATAAGTGGCACGTGGTAACATAGAAACAAGAATAAAGTTGCAAGAAATATAGGGAATGCGACTGGGTTTAACAAAATTCCAAATAAAATGGATTGGAATCTTACCCAAACGAGAATGCATGATTTACAATGCTTCCTCCAGGATGTCATGAGGTATTTGAACTTGCACAACGAAACAAAGACTTTGCTATTAACTTGCAAAGGGAGCACTTTGAAATCCAACAATTTTATAGCTGTTCGCATGCTTTTCTCGTGAAACGTGACCAACCACTAATGATCAAGGCTTCACTCTCGCTCATAAATTCTGGCTTGACTTTTACATTTTCACATATAGCAAATTATATGACTATAGATTGCAACTAAATGCTTTTCATACAAAAAATTAATCATGGCATGAATGAAGAGAAACCTACGAATGAAGGGCAAAAACACCAACCAACAAATAAGCATGCTTCAAATTTTTATGATAAATCCGGCAATTAATAAAATACATAAAGCGAAATTCCGAATGAATTTCTGCGGAAGCTTATAACTAATTTTGGATAATACCCAAAAAGAAAAGGAACCCTTAAAGAATTTATTTGCATTTTGTTCAAAGCTCAGAGATCTCTGGAGATTTTGCACAGTATAGAGATCTGAGATCATTGTTAAATAATCTCTAATAAAATAAAAAGATTTTGAAAGACTTTAAACTGGTATTCGCAAAAAGTTGTTCCCTAAGGCCTACATAAAAAATGCTTTCCCTCAGACTTAATACAGCTGGATAAAAAGATAGAGAAGCAGGCGTGTTAATATTTGCAATGTAAGAGATATCATGAACAACTTTCTAAGGTCCTGTGAGAGGGTCACTATCGTGCGTTGAGTGATGAATATATGGCTGTGGGCTTAATTTGCTATGTACAGATGGGTAAATGATTGACGATTTACGCTGTGGGACCGTGTCTGGGCGAGGAATTTGCAATGATTCATCTCTTACTGCCGTTGAAACATCAATGTTAAGCGGCACGTCTACTTCTTCCTGAAACATAAACAAGAAATGATGAAAAGAAACTTTACAACTAAAGAATTGATTTAAATAACATGAAGGCTTGGACATACGCCGACGATGACCGTCATAGCTTGTAATCTGTTTTTATATAGTTTATTTTCTGCGCATATTTCTTTATAACAGGTTACCATTAATATGTAAATAACTTCTCATCAAAAAAAAAAATAGTGGTAGTAGTAGGCTAAGTTGAATACTAGGCTAAGTTTAAGTCCAACAAATATCAAAAATTTCAGCACATCAATATGTTTAAAAGTGATGAAATTGAGATGTTTTTCTTTTTTTGTTAATTAACTTTCATATAAAATACCTGTGCAGATGAAGAAACTGAAGCTGATCTATGCATAATATTTTGTAAATTGGCAACTGGTAAGTTTGCTGATGGAGTATTTGTTTTTTGCTTATTCATTGCATAGTCACCAGAATCAAAGAATTTCTGCAAGAAAAAAATTAGATAGGATATAGAAAGAAAAAAATAATCTCACAGTGCTAAATAAAACGGAACCCTCTATCTATATCTAGGTGTTTTGTGATACTAACTCCAAGTTATACCTTTCTAATATTTGGTTATATCAAGCACATTTTCCCTCTGAATGAGCACAAAACTTACCAACACCACAAGAAAAGAAAATAAGATGCAAGTTTTGGAAGCTCTAAAAAAGACCAAAAAAGCTAATCCCAGCTATTTCTTGGAAACCAAACGTTTTTAAAATAAAACATACTCTTTGCTGCTGTAATTTCTTCTGAAGAAAAGTACTTTGTGGTTTTACCGGTAATTTGCCATTTGCTGCAAGTTTACTCATCAGAAGATCCTCTTGTTGCTTCTCGAAATTGAAGTTTTCCTCATTCAGTTTTTTAGCTTCGTCCAAATTCTGAACACCACCAAGCATTGCTGTAATCAAAACTCTTAATACTTTTGCCATTTTAACGATAAACACAAATCGAAAAGATAAAAAATTGTTTCATAGACCCCTTGAAATCATATGCTTCAAATAAAATTTTACAGCAATACAACATAAACAATATCATTTAGGACAGAGTCAATAATTAAAACTGCCCGGTATTATAAACTAAAGAGGAAAGAAAGTAATTACGAATAAAAGAGATGCAAAAAAACTTTGACTTTTTCCAAGGCTGAACCTTTTGACGTGGCCATGAAGGAATGGCAAAATAATGTTGTGATACGGATGTTTAATACTTTATGTTCTACATCAAATATATTGAACAGAAAAACATTGCTGATATTGTAACACAATATGTTTCAAGTTCCTCATAAACAACCATTCGTACACAGATGTGGAAAAATTATTACAAATGAGTCTAGATTGTTGTTACATGAGTAATGAGCATATAAAGAAATTCTCTAATTTTCCAACTAGTACCATTAAAAAGGAATTTAATTCAAATTTCATGTTCTCAACTTCCTAACTATTTAATAAATACTAACAAAAAAAAGGACAAATCTCTGCTGTTGACCAAAGATCTATAATTTCTTGGATCGAACATTCAATCCCACTAGCAGCAGCAAATTGCACTTTCAACAAACATACTGATGAAAAAAGAAAGATAGAGATAGAGCAAAAGAATCTGGAACAAAATGTAAGTCATGTTGAGATAGTACGGATAGGAAGTCGATCTTGAGATTTTACTTGAACATAAACTCTATGCTCAGCCTCCATTCAAACACGGAAAGTGATTGAAATAAAAATTGAAAGATAAGTACGAAGATGCAGACGAAAGTTAGGATAACAAATCAGCCTAACTTTAATCATTTTTGCTTTGTTCCATATCATTTGTGAACATGTACTTTATTACCTTACAATTACATAATGCTTGGAAACCTTAACAATTATTTTCAATGAATTAATCTTTTATTCCTACATTTTTTACTTTCATTCGTCATAATTTAAAAAAAAAAAAAAATGGATATGGAATCGACGAAAATGAAAAAAATCCAAGTTATAATATCATTTAAATTAAGAGAATAGTAAATAAATGCGATGCTAGTTCCTAAAATGATTTACAAGTTGTTTCAAACCGACGTTTCTGGATATTCTAAGTTTCGTTGTTTTCATAACTTCACTAAGAATCGTTTACTTTCATTAACAGCTTTCCACTATCACATACACATACATACATAAACACAAACAAATATTCCAAGACAAGTGTTTTTTAATCAGAAAATTCATAAATATGCACACGTCGTTAATTGCACAAATTAGACTGAACAAATTATCTATCATAATGAAATATTAATAAGCTGAAAAAAGAAGTTTACCAACTGATAATTCTAATTTTTTTTTCAATATGCCTACATATGAAGTAAGAGAGATATAATATCTATATGTGTATTGAAATTTGTTCGTATGATGACTAGGAATAATCTTATAGGCAGTGGTATTTTACTATTAATGAAGTGAAGTGGTAACAATTATTAGTATAAAAGTTAAATTATTAATTTCTCAATCATTTCATTGCATATTCAAACAGTTAATAAAGAAATTTTTAGTATAATTGCGTCCTTAAGAGATGTCACTGACAAAAAGTTATCACTTAAATCTGAGACACACATAACTCTCACATCATCATAAATAAATCTCAAATGTACCTCTTTAGTCATTCCTCGATAAATAAACCCCCCCCCCCTCTGTTCCCCCTCCCCATCCCGATCATTCCCATGAACACGACAAGCTGCAATCAGAACAACGTAAAAACTTACCCTCCAGAACTCGTGGCAACAACTTTTCACGCGGTTCATATCGATCTTTGACGGCCCTCTGCTATTTTTAATTTCAGTACCCGGGGATTTTCCGCTTGGGGTAGATGAATGTATGAATCATTTCGTTTGTTGCGTCATTTTGGGTCACGTGTTTTACATCTACCACGTACGAATGTTAATAATTCCAATTTTAAGCAAGTGTTCTTTCTAGTAAATATGCAAAAATTTGCAGTTTACATCGCAAGTGGATTTGGTCTGTGTTTTGCTATATACATTATATGATGGAGAGTAAAGTGTTACCTTCCAATTTATTTGATAACCTGAAAAAAAAAAAGCAATTTTTGGTAAGTATTTTGTGCATATCAAGCAATGGACGATATGCAGAAGGAGATTTGGCATGAAATGGTTTCGACAATGAACCATGCTGTAAGACTTTAATCTAATTTTTGCATTGAAAATTAATTATGTTGAACAGGAAAAAGGAAGAAAAGGAGAATCAATTATTAATTTTGAAATCCTATGGAATGGATTCAAAAGAGGTTACATATTGATGAGATCACTTAGTCATCATAGTTGGACAACTGATTTGCAGCTATCGAATGATTGTATGAAAGAGATGCAGGCGCGAAATGTGTTAAAAATACGATAAATTCCGATTATCGTTGTGAAGAACAATGGGCTTTATCAAAGGTAGTAATATATTCTAATCTTCAAGTCTTAGATTACTGGCGAGTATTGGTCAGTTCTGAGAGTCGGAAATTTTTGATGACTACCGACGAAATAAAAAACTTGATAGTAACTAAAAAAATAAGAAAAATAATGTTTCCACCGAATTCAGATGTTAATCATTTTCTGTTCAATATATTTTTAATGGGAAATAGGTTTTTGATAAATTGTAAATATTTTAGCTATTGTAAAGTTTTTTATTTCTCAATAATAAATCCAGAAACATTATTTTTAATTCACTGAACTAGAACACTCTATGGTGGAATTTCCTCCGAATCCATTTGGCGGTAAGACATATTAAAGTAAATTTAATTTAATATTTATCGAAATTAACAGTGAAATGATCCAGTAGTAATAGTAAATTTAAGAGTAGTCATAATAAAAGATTATCTTGAAATTGACTTTGCTTGGAAAAAAATTCTCAACTATTGATGCATATAAATTGATATGGCTTAAGATGCTAAATTACATGTGATTGCTGTGTTTTATGTTCCCAAGTATCAAGAAGCTTTCATTTACTTGCACAACGAGACTGGATAATTGAGTAGGAAATCCTGCACGATAACTAAATTATTTGGTGCAATTTATTGGAAAATATATACATTTAAAAAGAAATTTGAGTAATCGGAAGGTCAAGTTTTGAAAACAGTGAAATCTGTTGTGACGAAAAAAGAATTCTTTAAAACTTATAGAGATATACCATAGTTTTCACACCTCTTAATGATTGCTGGCTTGCATATCGTAACTCTGATTAAGGAGCTTACGTTGCTTATGTCAGAGTAGTGCATTTAACTTACTATTTGTAAGATTTTATATAGTTTGAACTTTATAAGAGAAATTTTTCTATTAATTTATAATAGTTAACAAAAAGGAATTAGTTGATTTTTCTACTTCTGGCTTTGGCTTCTTCCAATTATTTTATTAGTTTTGTATTGTTAATTTTTAAATAATGCTGCTTCAGGTTGAAGAATGTGAACTGTATATGTTTTTGAAGAATGGTCAGCATTATCAAATCCTGGAATTTTCAATTGAAAATGTGCGCCATGTATTTTTAGTTGGTTTTGATGAATATTTTATGATTCTAAGGAGAAAAGTAACGCCAATGTTTCAGCAACACACCGAACTACCGATAGCTGCAGTTTATTTCATTATTCTTAGTAAGTATACATTTTATTCATTTGTTGTTTGATATCTGATTGTTTATTTGTTTTGGCTATTGTAAGATTTTTATTGGCCAGTATATTGCTTTGTTTTTCAGCTGTTTTAAATCCTTTACAATGTTCAATTTTTGCCATTCCTTCTTCTTACTGAGCTAATTAAATCGAATTCTTTTGGAGCTTTTTTATTTTTACATTGAATTCAAAAAATAAAAAACTATTTTCTCCTAATTAATATTTTTGGTCCATTTATCTAAATCATTTCATATCATTTCGTAAGTTTTTTATTATTAAATGCTTTTCAAGTGAAATTAACTGCTGAAACTGTTGATACTTTCAAAGGAGAGTTTCAGTTGATTCATAAACCACTGCTATGATTTTAGCATTTATGTATTTCATGCCTTACAAGTTTTCATAGTGTTCCCATTTTTCTGTTCATAAAGTAACTTGTTTAAAAAAAATCTTTGAATCCTCAGTGTTATCTAAATCATTTTTCCTGAAAAGTCCGTACTGTTATAAATGAAAGTTTAATTTTTGATTAACTTCTAGTTAGAGTTTTGCTTTCAGTGATATATAAATGTCTTTTATTTATAAAGTTCTTTTATTCATATTGATTTGATTCGTCTGTTTTTTAAACGACTAATATTTGAAGAGCTCCATAATGGCCTGAGATTATAACTAATAAATTCATCGAGTTTTGTGTTTGAAGAAGAAAGAGGAACAAATAATATTATTGAATAATTTTTAATTATGATTCGTAAAAATAAAAGTGTAAGTTGATTTTGATTCATCTTAATACTCAACCAAACTAAGTAATTAATTTTTACAGTTTGTTCATGGACGGAAATGCGACACGATATTTATACAACTTCATTTCCTGCAAAATGGAAAATGTGGAAAATATCATTCTTACTACCGGAAGCTTATTTTAATTGGTTTTTCCTTTATGTGTTTTAGTGAAGAAATATGGATATCAGTAGTGGCGGCTTTTAAACTCTCATTTCTATATCTTTGTGAATTTTTTTTTCTTTTTAAGATGAATGCGAATAATAGATTAGCAATGAAATATTCAAGCTGAGATGAATGTTGAACATCATTTATCGTCACTTAGGAAATTTTCAATATAGAACAAAGAAAAAATATATTAACCACCAACAATTTTGTCCTGGTTGTTTCTATTTATCCTTTTTTCTCGTATGTTGTCATGTTTACAATCCTTACTTTATTAATACTCTTCGTTCTTTAGTATCTTATTGCATTATCACTTTTCATCACATAATATCTTGTTGTACTGGTATTCTTAATATTCATAGAGATATCGATGTTTTAATAATTTTTTTTTTTATACGTTCTAAAATATTTTCAAAGCAATCAATGTAATTATCACTAGGTGTTTATTGCTTTTATTATTTTATTGTATTTTATCTTTATCAATAAACATTTTTATATCACTCAATGTTAAAAATTCTTAATTTTTGATTTTTATGCGCTACATCGCATTTATTATCTATTGAATATTTTTTTAACGACATATTTTTTTTGAACGGTTTTTCTTTAAATTTTTGAATTTGTATCACCAGAAAGGTCAAGAATGCATATTATAAATATTATGTAAACTTCATTTTATTGGGTCTATGAGAAATTTAGAAACAATTTCGGAAAAGAAAAATTAGAAATTTCTTTCCTTAGATAAAATTAAAAGATATTGGATAAGTTAAGACTTTGGTTTGCGATATAAATATATTATTGAAGTGCATGTAAAAAATAGTCAAGTTTGTAATCTGTTTCACACGCATGCATTCGAAGTGATTTGATTAAAATAATTTAGGAAAAGATTGTTAGCAGAGTCTCCAGCATCCTTAAAAAAAAAAAAAAAAAACTTAAAAGCTCCATATCGCAATTCAGAAATCTTCTCGAATTTAATCTTTTTTGTTAGCATACTTTAGTTGATCGAATTAAAAAGCTCATTTTAATTTTCCTCTTATTCGAGAAAAGCATAACGCGCGAATTATGCTAAGAGAAATTTAATCATTAATGCAAATGTCTCTTCCTAATTTTATCATCATTTTATTTGCATTGGTAATCTATTTTAAAATTATGGGATAAATTACATTACATTTTTTTTTCTCTCTTTTTTTTTTTGATATGGAGAAGAAAAAACTTTGCCTTATTTGCATCATCATTGAGTGTACTTATAAGGGGAAAAGAAAAGTGCACTTTTTTAGTTTGGTCTTTTTTTTTTTTTCTTTTTGATTTATGTTTTTAGATGACCCACCACTTTTTATTTCTGTATGAAATATTCTGATAACATACTCAGATTTTTGAAAGGATCTGTAAATAGTGTTTAGTAAAATGAAAGATCAAGGACAATAAAACTAAGCGATTAAGGAATCTTTTTTTTTTTTTTTTTTGCACAGAAAAGTTTTGACCATTGACTGGAATTATTTATGACAGTTATCAGTTAATTTTTAAAGTGCTAAATATTGAGCGGATTATACAAGGGTACTAGTAATGCAAGCAAGAAATCTTCATGAAAGTTGACTTCGTTTTATAGTCTTACCAAGTGTTGTAAAATAAAAATTAAAATCTTAATCGGATTCATTTGAGGATTCGGAATCGTACAGTTGACATTGTTTGTTTATATTTCTTTTTTTTTTTGTAAAATTAACTGTACAACTTAATTTTCAGATAGAAGTAAGTTTGAATTTAGAGTGAAACTGGAGAAAAGAGGAAGATGGTTGGAATCGGCAAAAATAATTGCATCAGTGTTATCTTTTCGAAGATTTAAGCCAATCATATATTTCTTGCAACTAGTTGTTGGTAAGGCTGAGAATATTTATTTTAATATACTTTTGTTTTAAAATTTCTTTGTTTCTGTAGAAAATACATGCCGGGTCAGCAGCGATTAAATTCAGTTACCATGGGTTACTCTCGTTAGCTATTTCATTTTTCCATTTTGCAAGCTTAATTTAGATTGATTTTTCTCTTTTTCATAGGCTCTTTAATTGTTTGCTATCTAAAATAACTGAAAGTTTGATAAACTTCAAGTCCTTTAATTTGCTCATTTCCTAAAATACTGCACTGTAATATTATGTGATTTTTTTTTCTTTTGATTGATACTTTCTAATAAGATCTTAACAAATTAACAAATGGATCTGATGAGCAAAACAAAAGTCTCAATTGGGGTCTTTTCTGATTCTGTTTAAGCATCACTCCAAATTTCAGTAAGTCAGATGATTCTTGTTAGGTAAAACTAGTTTGATTGTAATTTTCAGTTGATTTCTACACGGGAAATATACACTTAAATAATTTCAGATAATCAAACATACTTATTGCATATATATGAACAGCCATTGAAACTAATTCGTACTTTGATAAGCATTATATTGGGCGTTGCGATAGTTAATGCAAATATGCAAAAGAAAGAGAATATTGGGCTACTAATTTTAAATAGAAAAATTGAAGGATATCTACCATCTTATCCTATTAAGTCGTCTGTGAAGAATTAATGTTAGCTAATTTAGGCTCTAAAAGCTCTAACCAATTTATTTTAGAATTGGCCTTTAAATAAGTTTTTTTTTTTTTTTTTTCAGGGATTGATTCCAGTTTAAAATCTCTTCCATATGCGTAATTTAAACCTCATCCAGCTATATTGCTGAAGAAATGTCATAGCACATTTATGGACTCTATGTTTGTTTCAATTTATTATTTGCTCTCAGAATTACAAAGCCTCAGTCGCATTGGTGCTCTTTAAGTAATAACTTATTTATGCACTTTCTAAACTATCATTATTTTTTAACATTAGCTCATCCCATTTTTATCAATAGCCCTCTATCAGTGAATAGATTAGAATCAATAATTTGAATGGCTTTTTTGATTTTATTTAATGGATTAGTTTAACTGTGAAATGTTGAGATTGAATTTTGCACAGGAATTATTCCAAGCAATGCAGTTGCTGCCATGTAGATAGATGAAGAAGGCGAAACAGTTAAAAAATATATCCTTGGAATGGAATGTGAGGAAGGAAGAAAACAGAGGGAAATTGTTGTTGAGAAATAAAAAAAAAAAATTATGTATTTTTTTTTAACGTATCTTGAAAAATGTAGCCTTGATATCGTCGGATGGCACATTTGTTCGGGAGGGTTGTATGGAAAAAAGATAGTTGCTCTCGTCGTCATCATCATAGTAGTAGTTAGGATGGAGTTGCTCGCACTTACCCTTCTCCTCCATCTTCTACCCACCCACCAATGAATGACAAATGATCAGGTGCTGATTATACTTCACTGCATAAAACATGATATACATGCATAAGGTGCCTATAAATATATTCATACACACACATACACACACACACACACGCATACCATATACATACGTTAGGTATGAACAGACAAACAGATATTATTCTCTCATTTTTACACATGTAGTTAATTTATGGATTTTCTAATGTCATTTTTCAAAATTTTAAACAAATTTTGTTCAAGTATTGCTTTGATTTTCTCATAAAGATGAATAGCTTTAGTCAGTGGTAATGGCAGCCATTTATGTTTTTTTTTTTTTCTTATCCTAAACTTTGTCTGTAACAACAAGTAGCGTTGTTTTTTCTTTGTTAGAAGTTGTCATGCATCACAGTCAATGAAAGTCTATTGAAATTGTGTCGTAGTTCATTTATTAATACGTCTCAAAGCATGAACTAAACTAATTTTTCGTGCAATTTTCGTTTAGTTATGATCTTTTGCAGATAAATTTTGAGTGACTATTGGACTACTTGAAGCTATTTGTTCAATTAACCTTTTTGATTATAAAGCAGCAGGAAACAGGTCTTTAAACATTTGTAGGAATTTATTTTATAATTTATCGGTTTGAAATGATCGAAAATTGATAAAATTAGAAAGTATTATGCGAGTTTGATTTTATTTTTATTATCATTTCTTCCAGTTGCTTAGTATTTTATTATTCTTTAGAAGTTAAAGTATGAACGGTAATGAATATTAACAGAAGATTAACTTCCTAGAAATAATTGGTTGTATATACATTTTTGAGTATCACTTCAGTGTTCTATGCATATGAGTGGAAATAATTCTTTTATACGGGATTTTCCGATGCTCGATATCAGCTACATTTGGTAATATAACATACTGAATGAAATAAATAGGTAAGTGATGCACATTTAATTTATTAAAAACATTATTTGAACATTAAAAAACTCCGAATATTAACTATTCTTATCTTAGTCTATATATATATTTGTTCTCATTTTTACACTTTTTAAAACGTCATTATAGTAATAAATAACATTGACATCGAACTTTGTTTTCAAAAAAATAGGCAGCGAGGTGCCATATTTATTTTCTGCATAACATTAATAATCTATAATAAAGAATAAAGATCTATAAAAGTATAATTAATCCACAAGAAAGTGCTTTCTTTAAACCTGTTTGATTTTCTTATTTTAGAATGGAAGTAGTGGTTTATTTGGCACTGTTTGTGTTAGCATCTGTATTTTGTTTTTCATCATTCATCCTGATTGTTATGTGTCGACGGCGTGCACAGGCAAGGGAACGTTTGCATGCAGCGATGGCATCGTTGAGTTTTACTAAAGTTAATAACGAAAATGTAGAAAGTGTATTGCAACTCGGACCACTTATTGGTAATGTTTCTTTAATTTTGTATATGAGAAAAATTTTCTCGTATTTTTCATATTTTTTATAAATATAATTTTCAAACTTTAATAATTTCATCCGAAATTAGAAAAACCTAACATTTTATTTCAAAAGTTGATTGAAAAATAATTGTTGTATCTTTATCACTGCTCTCTATTTGTTGAATGAATCAAGAGTTTTCTACTGCGTAAAATGCTGATTCAAAATTCTTTTTATGCCATTGATATTGACAAATCTAAAAGTGTATTAGACTTGTACGGCTGTATTTGGCATACATTGCTTATGTATAAAAAGCTTAAGACTAGTGAAATAAAAAAATAAATAAAATAGAAACTGAGCTATGACAAATAATTCTTTTTCGATGAGCGAGAAAGTATGTGAAAATTTTCTTAGAATTATTGCAGTTACGAAAATTAAAGCTAATAGTACTCTTTCGAAGTCAGTAAAAATTGATTGGAATTTGGGAAATTTAGTTTCGAAATTATTAAGTTAGCAGAAAGATAAAAGGAACTGGAAAAATCTTAATTGTTTTAGTAAGTATAAAAAGAAGTTATGCTCATCAATTGTTAAAATTGATAGGATTTTTGATCAAATGAAGCTCTGTTTTTTTTACTTGCTGCAGTTTTCTATTGCTGGTCAAATTCATGCTCGATGCACTTAGCTTTATGATTCAAATTGAATTTTGAGTTTGCTATTATTGAAACGTTTCAAAATTTTTCAAAGTCAGAAATCATTTGCTTGTTTTAGCCCAAGTTCTGGATAGCAACCAGTGGATCTATGATGTCTCCGGAATGCTGCAGCATTGTGTTGTAGTTCTGAAACTGTGTCATGCTTTAACTGAGAAACTTTCCGTTATTCAGCTTAATTCAATTGCACCAAAACTTAATGAACAGGTGGTTACAGCTACTGCGCGAATCATGCCTCGTTTTGATGATTTGATACGAACAGTGGCTGCTAATCAGGTGCTTTTAATTTTCATTGATTGGGTTTTTTTTTTTTTTTTTTTTTAGGTTCAATGATATTCGGCATCTTTAACGGCAAAAGTAGGACAAGATAGTAAAAAGGAACGAAGTATTTGTTTTTATCAGACAGCGTTATCATAATGCAGTAGTTGCTAAATGTATTTATCATAAGCACCACTAATCCGCCATCAAATTTTATTCATGATAAATTACAAAATTTCATTTTGTGGAAAAAAATACAACCAAATGTGGTTTTGCTTTAATGTGTAATTAAAATTAATTTATGTTTAGCAAATTGTTTACGGTAACATAGAGAATATCACTTTCAGGTAGATATACGCTTGCTTGAAGCTCGTGCTTCTTCTCTTGTCAGTGCTTGCTGGGCATTAGCATTCCCTTTTACAGTAATTAGTCCGAAACATATGGATTCATTGGATGGAGTTTTAAATGTAATTTTTTCCTTTGAATTTAGATATGCTTTCAAAAATATACTTTATTTTTTGCATCATTTATGTTTGAATTAACCATTTCAGGAAATGGAGGATCATGTTGAAGCATTACGTTTGATTGTTGGACATATGGAAGAAAATTTCATGGTACAAGACAAAAACTGTAATCAGAAATTGCCATCATCATTGGCAGTTGTTGAAGAGACACCATTGATGGAATCTTCTACAAATAGAAATGATTCTATAACCGATTCTTTGCATAGCGATGAAGCTCCAGCTGATCCTATGGCACCAACAAAATAAGTTTATCTTCAAACAGTGGTTGGTATTTCAATTGAATTTTGCTTAATTTTTTACAGAAAAACAAATGCATTTTCTTGAAAATTTTAGTTTGAAATTTTTTAAACTGCATACTTTTATTGAAAATTTTCTAGTAACACAGGAAATGATTTGAGCTATCATTATTCACTCTTGATATTTATATATTTGTGTTGCGATTTACCATAAAGGTCCTTGAGAAGCTTAAATTAGATTTGTCGTGAAGGCCAAGTATATTTCTTAGCCTTCACGACAAATTATTAGTATTTGCTGAAAATATTAGTATTTGCTGGAATTATTGCTGGTAATTTTACACATTATAGCACTATTATTGCCTGTAGCAGTAATATAAGAAACGCTTTGAATTGAATTTACTCCCAAATCATAACCAAATTTTAAAATTGCTAGTTTATTTTTCTTCTGTCAAATATTTTCTCAAATATAAAATCTTTCTTAAATTTTTTGCTATCAAAGACTGACCTGAAGTTCAATTTTTTAGATGAATTACTGTTTTAGGTCCATGATCAATATAAAACGAGGCACGTCTATTTCAATACGACACTAGTTTCTCTTAAGCTGAATATGTATTATTTGTCTTTTCTTTCTTTTTTACTCATTTATTTGATTAAAGAAATGGATATACATGTATATACAGAAAATTTTATCCTATCTTTTTTATTACTAACGACAAGTCATATGTTTTGCCTTTTAGTCTACTAATGAATTAATTATTCATATTGTTTCCCTCTGTTTCGTGATACCGGTTTTTCGATACGTTTTCAGTAACAACATGTTTTCTTTCTTGCTTCTCTCAGTTAATCATCTCTCTTTGTTATTGTTCGATAATCATTGTAAATGTTTACTCAGGCATTTTTTCTCGTTTTCCTCTTTATAATTAAAAGTGGTCTTTTTCTCTTCGCCCTTATTTTTCCTTTTTTTTTTTTTTTTTTTTTTTGATTTCTTTTTTTATCTCCTTTCTTTGTTTTTCTTTTTACGTTGCTTTTCTTTGTTTTCGTCTTGTGCCTTTTTTTTTTTTTTCTTTTTTCTTCATGAGCTATTCTTTTTTTTTTTTTGCTTAATGGTATTAGTTTTCTTTCTTTTTAAGAGGATTATAGGATTGTGCAATTCAGATTATCCATCGTAATCCAAACTGATACATACATACATTGCTATCTGGAATGCATAATAAGCAAAAAGTAACATACTACCTTCTCCAATGATTAATATTGCTAACAGTTTAAATCGTATTCTAAAAAAAAAAGAAAAGAAAAGAAAGGAAAACTCAAAGGGAAGCATTTTAATCTTTGTGAACTTATTTCGTTCTTTTCTTAAAAATTACAACAAAAAAGAAAAAGAAGGAAGGGAAAATCATTCGTCTTTTTAATAAATAATATTCGAGAGAAGTGTATAAGTTTTTTTTTTTCTTTTCTAAAATGGATATATTTTGCGCTGGAAATATGCAAATATCTTTATGCGTTTTAAAAGTGTTTTCTTAATAACTTATCATGCATTTAAAATTTTAACATTTCAAAATTTACCTAAGTTGAATTATGCAATTATTTGAGATTGCTTCTAGGAAAAGAAGAGAAGTTTCAGAATTAATACTTGAATGAAATCAAAAATTATAGTTTACGTATGTCTGAATTAGGCATTTCTTTCTTTTTTTTTTCTTTTTCTTCTTTCTTTTTTTTTTCTTTTTCTTCACATCTGTTTGTCTTTTTGCTTCATCTTTTCTCTTTTTGCTTACGGTTCTGAATTCTTCACTCTAAATTTTATGGTCATTTTGTCTCATCGAAGGTATGCGTCTGTGTTCTTTTCTATTCCCCTGTTTTTGCATAATCCCTGCTTTTAACTCTTATTTGTTATCTCTGCCCAAATTTAGTTCCTTTTCAGGTTTGTTTGCATAATAAGTCATTTTATAGAATTACAAAAGGTTAATGTCTTCTTACGTTTTCTGCAATTTTTATTTGAAAAATAAGAAATGAAGCTAAGAGGTTTAGTTTTATCATATTGTCATATTTGCCTAAAAGAATTTCAAAAAATAGCAGGCAACCCTATCAATTGAATTTTAAACTAGTAAGTTTAATCTATTTTTTCTAGCTCTAAAAAATTAGAAAATTTCAAATTTTACTATTAGCGTATTATTTTAGGCAAATTATCCGTTGTTATCAGGAACAAACAGCTAGATAATACCTCATTTAGCTATCGATAATAATGCTAATTCGATGAGTGTACTATAGCTGATTAGCTTATATGCAATTCTTCCATGTTTATTTTCTGGTGACACATACCTTCATAAATGTTCCATTCCCATTCACATATTAGTTTTGCTTTGTAAATACATTTTGTTGTTTTTTTTTTTTCTTTCTCTCTCTTTCTGTCTTTGTAATATTTGTAATAAATGCGCACCAATTTGTTGTTAACTTTTAGGAATTAAGTTTTAGAAGTTACTTTGTTTGAATAATATACAAACGAAAATATGTGATTCACTTTTTCTTTTTATTTTTGCAACAAAAATTATGGAATGATTCGAATAAAATATCATGAAAGCATCATTAGATTTCAATTTCAAAGGATTGAAGTTTTTCTTTTTTAAAGTTTGTAATTTCAATTTTAGAGTATTGCCTAAATATTTGGTTTAAAAAAGAACTAAATTTTGTTTTGTTGATTCAGTTCTGTTTTTGAGCTAAAAATTTTCCTTGTAAATTTATTTTAAAATGTTTCACTTTTCTTCTGATGTATTTTAATTTGCAGATTTATACTGGTTTTATTTCTTGATTTTATGCTTACTTTACTCATGAATGCAGTTCTATTGAAAATCAGGATATTGCTACCAAAATTGCACATTTTATTCTGTTTTATGTTTTCTAAAAACTAAATCAATTACGTTTGTTATTTTTATTGACTGATAGCGATATGTTATCCGAAATATGTTTGTTTCTTTGTTTTAATATGTTTATAAAGAAAAAAAAACATGAACTTGTAAAATACACTTTGCATAACATTATCAGAAAAAAAAAAAATCGTAAAATTGCCTTCATTAAATTTAAAGAAAAAAAAATTCAGTAATATTAAAAAAATACAAAAAAAAAAAAAAAGTTTTAGCTAATATTCGGTCCAATAAGACATCGAAAGATAAGAAGTAGTCCAGTTATTTTTTTAAATATCTTATTTTCTTCCTAAGCCATTAAAAATTTAATGATTCGAATGTTTTATAGAAATTCGATTGATAAAAAGCGTAAACAAATTAGACGAGAACAGGTAATGTGAAACTAATAAAATATCATTATTCATTATTCGAGTGGCTTTTTTTGTTAAATTTCCTATTTCTATTTTAGATTTTTCAATAATTATCTTACAAATGAAGGAATTTTTCCTGAACTGACAATGGCTAAAGTGTTAATTAATTAGTTCACAATTCGAATTATTCTCAATAATTTCTTTAAAACTCTTCTAGTATAGATTAAACTTTCAGTCAATACTACTAATTTTAACTGCTTAACATGATCAATATTTCCTACATTTTTACGTTAAATTTTATAAATTTTAAATTTATAAAACAATCGATCAATAATTTTTCAAAGCCTTATTATATTTAAAAATAATTTGTAAATTTTTAAAGATTAAGAGAAGATAATTTTGCAATAATAGTCTTAGAAGTGTGTATCATTATTCAATCTTTTAGATATTCAAAGAAATTTAATTTATTTAAAAAAAAAGTGAAATAAATTTTGGTAAATAGAATTATTATTGCAGAATGTTAATTAAATTTTATAAACTTTAATTGGCAAATTTATGTTTGTTGTTGTATTTATTTCATTTAATCAAAGTTTTCATTTAAAAGTAAAAACTCATATAATAATAATAATAACATAAAAAAGAATGAATAATTTTGTTTATTTTATTTTATCTTTCTTAAAAATTAAAGAAAAATTAATTTACTGAGAATTTGACAGATTATTCAACGATTTATTATCTGAGTAATAATTTTTTATCACTATATTACTGCATTTAAGTTTTTTATTTACATACTGTCACATTCGCTAAAATACTGATTAAAATTCATTTTTAACATAAATGCGCAATTATCCAAGGAAAAAAATTAGAAACCACTTGATTTTTTATAAGTATTTGTTTACTTAAAATAATAATTGAAATGAAAATAAACTGTTAAGTTGCATTTTATATTATCAAATAAAATATTAAATGAATTTGCAATGAAATTTTATTAATGATTGAATCAAAAAGAAAACAAAACTTTTATAATAAGAGACTATATCGTTAAATAAATATATTATTAATCAAAACTACAAGCGTAATAGCTAATAAAAATAAAACTCTTTCTGATTATTTAAAAAATTTTTTATCATTTTTTTTTTTTTTTTACAAATAATATTTTTTTAATGTTTTAAAATTATTTTTTCCTTATTGAAATTTGTAGCACAAAATAAAAGTAAGAAGCAATCATAATTGTTGCTAATATAAAATTTTAATAAATTTTTTTTCTTTAATTTTATAAGCTGTTCATTTAATGTCAAAAAAATATCATCGATGAAAATCAAAATTTAAAAATTCGTTTGCTGATAAGCATAATTAAAATAGCAAAACTATTTAGATTAGTTCATTTCAATTCATCAACAATTCTTTTATATAATTCAAAAATTTTTCAAATAATTTTTGACTTCTAAAATTGATCACATTAAAATTTATTTACATTTTAATCATTTTCAATTCATTTTATGAATTGAAAATTTGAGATTTGAATGCACAATCAATTTGTTTTGCAAGAAAAGTTAACTTACATAAAAATTATGATTTTATAATGTCACTGGAAATTTGTAATTTTAAAATTTAAGTAAATTCGTAAAACTTAATTCATTTAAATCGATTTCAAATATGCAACAAATGAGTTAATATTTCAATAATTAACATTTATATATTCTTAAATTAAAAGAATCACGCTGAAATCATTTCCTATTTTCTCA